TCGCCCAGAGAGTTCTATGATTGATGCTGATGCCTTTTTTCGAGCTCTTCTGCCTTCTCCACTCTCTTCTCATATTTCTGATGAGCCTGTTGTTCTAGCATCTGTGGATTTTCTAGACGAGGATTCTGTGCCATCGGCAGTTGCTATACTTGACGTTCAGTGTCCATAAGGCACAAAACAAGATCTACCTTCTCTTGATGAAGTTCGCAAGGCTCAAAAGATTGAGCCGTGAATTCGAAGATTTCGAGATGCGTTTGAGAATCCTACATCACTTGCTGATGACTTGCCTTTTCGGCATTTACATTCTTAATATTGCTTTGATGATGGCCTTCTTTATTTTGTGGGGATGGATCTTAATGATCATTTACAGCTGGTGGTGCCTTTTGTCTTTATTCTATAGTTTCTCCATGCCTACCATGATTCTCTTGTTTTAGGTGGGCATATGGGACATCATTGTGTGACTGAGAAGCTGTGCAGGTCTTTCTATTGGCCAGAGATGCAATGTGATATTATCTGGTATGTGCGTAGCTACGTTTGGTGCCAAGCTCGTAATACTCCCCATTGTGCTGCGGAAGGATGGTTGGAGTCAATTGCAGTTTCCTGTTTGTTTGGGTTGGTGGCATTTGATTTTATGGGACCTTTTCCATGATCGACTGCTGACAATGAGTATGTTATTATTGCTTCTGACTACTTGACTCGTTAGGTGGAAGTTGGTGCTCTTGCTAGCACCTCTGCAACTGTTGTTGGATACTTTCTCCTCAATTGAGTGGTGTTCCAACATTCTTGTCTAGAGCGGATTCTTTCGGATAATGGTTCTGCATTTATGGGTGAGGCATTTCATATTTTGACATCTCGGTTGAGGATATGCCACACTTTCACGAGTGCTTATCATCCACAATTAGACGGTCTTGTGGAACAACTTGTTCGGACATTCAAAGGGATGATTGTGAAGTATGTGAACTTTCAGCATTCGGATTAGGATGGTTATTTGCCATCTCTTCGGTATGCCTATGTCACAGGGGTGCAAAGTTCTATTGGTGCTTCACCATATAAACTTCTATATGGTCATGATCCAATATTACCAACGGAGCTGGGTTTACCTTTGCGATTGCCATGAGCTCCTGATGCTAGGTCGTGAGATCAATATTTGACGAGCATTCTTCCACTTGTCTGAGTAGAGTTTACCGAACACTTAAGCCGCATACAAGTGGGACAACAACGGCACTACAACTCCCATCATCGTCCACCTACAGAATACAAAATGGATGATTTGGTGTTAGTCCATTTTCCCCATCTTACGATACGTGGTTTATCTAAGGGGCTCCTTACACAGTGGAAAGGACCGTATCAGGTGTTGCAACAAGTTGGACCACAAGTTTATGAGGTTCGGCATGACGTCCAATAGGCCGATCCTCCAGAGATTATGTATGTGCAACGGTTGAAACACTTCATACAAAGGGATCAGGAACAGTTAATACCATCTACAAACCCACCGATGCCTCCTCTTGATGTTCCTCTAGATCCCGGCCCGTCTACAAAAGAACCCTAATAGCCTTCCATTATTCCGAGAGGAGGGGATGATGTGAGGGTTAAGTGTACGGCTACGATGCCGTATACTAATATTAGCGTAGTGGGATTTTGGTAGCTGTTGGATTAGTTTCAATTCGGACCATTTGCTCCTATATATAAACTAGGGTTTTTGGGCTAATTGATATGCACATTTCTGTATTCCCTTTCCATATTCCATGCACTCACACTATTAATATATATATATATATATATATATATATATATATATATATATATA